TAATCAAGTAAGAGAATTTCTAGGCTCAATATTAAGATGGAAAATAATTCAGTGTAAATCTAATAATTAAACTAGTTAAAACTGAAACGTGTGTATAAAAGTAAAGTAGATATACAGATGTTCGTATCATGAGACTTTAAGGGATAAGCTAGAAATAGTACACTATTAAACGAGGGATGAAAAGTGTGTGACCAAGGGGTGGAAAGGAGCTATTCTATGCAGATATCTATACAGCTAATGCTCAAGCTGATTAATACGTGTCATGAGAGAGAAAATGAATGTTTTTACAGACTAACAAAGTGAGACATCAGTCTCCAAATTACTTCTCTTATGGAAACGGATTTACTGTGGTCACGGCTCTATGAAATACTACTAATTAGTACTAATTTTTATTCACAGGTTTAGTGCGTGCACTCTAACCATCACGCGCAAGTTTAGATATTGGTATGCATTGAATTTACAAGCGAACCTCTTAGCTCCTCCATTAGCATTTGTACCTCTGGTTGCGCCCCACACAATTTTCTAACCCTTTGCTCAGTTATTTTAGGATTATTCTTGAGAGTTTTATGTTAGAAATGTTCCTTGTAATCTTTTCTATACATTTACGATATATTCATATATAAGCATTAGTTTCAACTATGCTTGATTCTGGCATGGTCATGGATTATGTTACGAAATGTAGTGCTACGAAATGCAGTCTTATTACGATCTCTCAAAACAGGCTGTATAGAAAGTTTGTTTGCTCTCCAGTAAATTTCACCCATTGGAATCAAAATGTTCATTCATTTGACCTCAGTGAATTAATCACAACGTGATTACTGAGCTGCAAAAAATATTCGTCTCTTGTCTCTTATAACGTGTTTCACGGATCATCGGGTTAACCATTTATCAGTCTGAAAACACTCAGCTAACATCAACTGCTTAGTAAGTAGGCTCTCCCTTCTTCGCTCCGAGTGCCATTAAGGAGTGCCGATCGATCGCGATAAACAAATGAAGACCTGTACGATATTTTGTTTCCTTTTACTAGGAGTTTGGACGACAATTCCGACAATGGTCATGACATGGTTGGCTGTCGAAGACATTCTGTGCGGGGTCCTTTTGCCGTCAACCGTTATTCTCATTTCTTTCTCATTTGCAGATATGTTAAGCAAATGCCTCAGTCCTTCAATCGTGAGGAGAATATCTTTTACTTCTTCGTTTGTTTTCCTCACTGCATTATTGAGTGGATCGGTTGTTCTGATAGTGGCTGTTGATGATGTTCGTGTCAGAATCGCTGGAGTTGGGCTTCTTGGTCTTTCTAATGGTTATAATAGAATCACCTCCGTGAGGATGCTTGCCTATTACGAAAAAGCGGAACTTCTCGCTTCTGCCTATCAATATGGTATCAACTTTTCGACATTTTTGACGTCAATTGGATACTTGGGTACGTATATGTCGGTCTAAATCTCAGGCCCAAAATTCATTGCATTTTATTGATAAAAATTTTAGAGTCATTTGTCCTGCACGATTGACGGTCCGTCATGTAGAAAATTAAATCAGTTTTTACCCAGACTTGCTGCAATTGTTTTCCTTTGCCACCGACTCGGATTCAAATAGTGCACTTTCCGAGGGCAATGGCGCGAAGGAAGCGAGTAGTGCCGGAGAGAATCTCTCCTCCCGCCCTGAAAAAGAGAATAGCAGCCTCGCTCAACTTCTTGTTTCCTTCGCGCCAAGTCTATATTTACTCCAAAGCGGATGTCTGACTGAAATTAATGTCAATCACGGCTGTAGATCAGAAAAGAGCTTAGAAAAAAAGACATGAAACAATTTTGATTCTATTGCATAATAGTTTGAAATGGGGAAAGACTGAAAGATTTCGCTCCTTGGGAAACCAGGGGTCATTTTTTCATAATACCAAAATATTGTCACCACTAATCGTCAGCGCAAAGGACAGTATAGTGGCGCAGCTTAAAGGGGTCGAACTGAACCGGAATGAGAAAGGGCCTCTAGCAGCCGCAAGTCTATGTATAAGTAGGGACTGGGGAATTACTTCACTTTATATTATAAGCAATTTATCCATTTTTATTGATTTTTTTCCTCCAAATTGCAGGATTAACAACCTGGCTGCGTGTTAACCCACGTATCGCTATAGCTTTTTGCATCCCGATATCTTTCTTCCCGCTTGTTGTTTACGCTTTGTTAGACAAAACTCCCTTGAAAGATCACCACCTTAGTACAAGCCAATACCAACCCTTAGAAGTAGATTCGACTGTTGAACATTCCTACAAGCCTACAGCAACTTCAACATCATTCTTAACACAAAAACTAGAATTTCTGTTCAAAGTATTTCCCTTCGCCTCGTACACCTTTTTTTCCAATTTTTGCATACATTTGTCAATGGTCGCTGTCCTGACAACCCTCACGTTCCCCTCTTCGCCATTTCAGCCTCGTGACCACTTTTTGTACTACAGGCTCTCGAGTGATACTGGAATTTGGGCGGGCGGTGCAAGTCTTCTAGTTTCGTATTTATGCCCAGAATGGATCAATGTCTTAAGAATCCGTAAGATATGGCTTCTAGTTTTGCTGAATGTTAGCCATTTCCTTTTCTTCATTTTCGCATCATGGTTTCGTTTCCTCCCTAGCGTCATACCTGTGTTGGTGTTATGTTTTACCCAGGGTGTTGTATACGGGTTATCTCTGATTTATTCTTTGATGGATGCAGCGATGTTATTTCCTTGTCCAAAGGATAATGGCACAGCAATGGGTATTGTGGAGTTTGGGCTTTCACTGGGTCGATTTGCTGCAGGAATTCTGGGAATCGTCACGTAAAAACATCTGAGAGAGCACTGCACTTATAACTTATTGCTGGGTCACTTCTGTTTGGCAAGACACAAAGTATGCTGAATGGAGCACAAACTACCAAATTGCAGAAACACCACTGAGTTACTTACATATGTAACTAGACTCAATACTGTAGATGGCCTGCCTTGAATTTAAAGACTTTTTAAAAAAGAAACTGAAATAAACCATCCTTGTTTTAAAATAACACTTATTAGTCAAATCCAACTAGCGGTCTATCATCAATGCTGCATTCTGATTGGATGAGCTACTCGGCTAGCGTATAAGTTATAGCCTACGTAGCGAAAAGTGCTGCCTCTGGAAGCCAAAAGATTGAATTTAACTTTAATTCAAGACTTATTTGCATCTAAATATTTGACTGACTAGTAAGATTTGTCTAAAACAATTAATGCTCTCGCCCTCATGGCCTATGAGTCATTTGCCCATTCAGCCTTCGGCCTCATAAGCCAGTCATTAGGAGGACTAATTGCTAAGTAACCAGTGGCTAACAATCCTGTGGCCCTCACTCCTCACTTCATTCAGGAACTACTCGTTATTCGAAATGTAATTTTATTTGCCCAGAGTTCAATCGCGTAACCGAGGATGGGAGGTCATTTGCAGTATCTGCCTTTCAACTTTGGAACACTCTTCCAGTTGATATTATTAAGTCTAAACCTAGTGTTTATAGTTTTAAGTCAGACCTTCATGATTACTATTTTAATGAACAGAATTCTATAAATCATTTTAGTCCTTATTGAATTATATTATTTGT